TTTGATGAATGATTTGTGACGGTGACCTTTTCGAACCTTCCTCATTATGTGAGGCTGACTTTAAAATGTTCGTTACACCCACTTGGATGGAACAGGTCAGATTTATATTAGAGAGGAGGCACGGGGGAAGTTCAAATTGCCAAGGTGCTTCCCCTTGCAGGAAACATGTTACCATTTCCAAAGGAATCTCAGAAGAAGTGGTCTGTGACTATATGAAAACTTTCGCACTTCTCAGGGGACAATGATGGCATAATTGGGGTACACTTTGAGGGCCCTCAATTTGTGGCAGGGGCAATCCTTGGGTTGTATCCCACTGTATAAAGAGAGCAGCGCCAGCTCCAAATTTTGGAAACAAACTGGCTGAACATTATGTGTACAATAAAGCGTACGGCTATTGTATACCAACATTGTGTGTGCACCCACGCATACAGTGCACGACTTGATTCCGGCTTCAAGTTGATGGTGACGTTGCGGTGCCAATAAATGGTGACAATGGTCGCAGCAATATTAACGAGCTCTGGTTCGATCACAAATAAAACGTGTCAAAGGCGGACTATTAAACAGATTTTTTTTCTTCTATTAATTCTGAGCGGGGAGGGGGCATAGGACAAATCCCTTACACCCTCTTAATTATACCACTGTTAAGCGGTAAGAAAACAGCCTTTTTTAAATGACGGGTCTTTACGAACCATTTTCCCCCTTGAATACAACCCGAATGCCAACTGAAATTATTGGAAGGGGAACAAAACGATTCTCAATAATTTTGTCTAACCCTCTTTCACTTTCTTTCCTGTTTAAAACGACCATGCATGACCCGGTAAGCTCGTTCCCACTCTAATCAGATCCAAAAATGATTTGTGTTCCGATTTCTGCATTGAAACTTCTTCAACATAAAATAATTACATTTTACATAAAACGTTCTACAATGTTAAAGAAATGCAAAACTTCTACAACCGCTCATTGGAGTGCCTCAAAGCCGGTGTGCAAGGTAAAAACTGCCCCCCCCCGTAAATGTGTCTCAGCACTTTTAATGGATCGCACCCCGGTAAAGTGTCCACGAGGACGCATTTTCCGAGGTTAATCTGTCCCTCTCTGGGTAAATTTGTCCCCCTGGGAAATGTGTCCCCCGTGGAACGCCACAAGTCTTTCAACCAGACTGTGAATCATGTAAATATTTTTAGATGAAGACGAGGGATTTCTGAAGTAATGAATTATTCATTTAGTCACTGTAAACTCATCAGTCTAGTGACATCTATGGAGTCGTGGATGATAAACCCATATGCGAACCTGCTTCACCTTTTCCAGGTGTTCAAGATACTCAGATTTTCCATCACCAGATTTATCTACTCGCTGGTTGGCCTACAATGTTGCTCAGTGCATTAATATTACCAACATAGCTCCTTATGACAGTCTGCCAAACACTCTCGCGGATCAAAGGATGAGGATTCTCCTTAAGTATTTCCCTATTTTTTTTTTATAATTTAAAAAACTAAGGAATTTACAGATATTACTCATTCGATTCATACTAGATATTTTACTGTACTAAATGAAGAATTCTCAAAAATATTTTCATTTTGCTTGCCTTTTCAGATGACCTTGACTATACAACAGTTACCCAACATAGCGACTGGCCAGAATTATGACTGTTACTTTGGGTCATATCAATCCCTCGCTACTGTTACCAGTGATTTGCTTATTTGTACAAGAGGTATTAATAGGAGACCAAATAAATTGTTTATTTTCATGGAAGATAAACCCATTTTATTTTAAATTAGACGTTTTGAAAAGGTAGACCAGTACTGTCTCTCTTTTACACACACATATATATACCTATTTGTTTATAAGTTGAATGCGATTTTTGATTGGCATTCTGGCCAAACATATTAAATTTTCCAACTTTTGGATAGCTGTGTTATCTGGTATTGGCGCTATAGACGCTGTACGTAGAGCAAAAAGAAAACAATAGAATTGTTTCAATTCCATATTTCCTCAGGTGGAAAATCCAGCAAAAGATCTGCAAAGATGTTTAGATATCACCAACCGTTGTCACTTTACACGCATTTTTGCATGATTCAGGGTCACATCGAAAATAATACTACAGCGAGGTTGTATGAAAGAGTGCCTCTAGATTCCTGTCCAGTACCGACAGATACCAAAATAAACGACACAACCAGAGAAATGCATGTGCTAACAGAACAAAAGGTATGGTCAGTAATTAACGCCAGGTTTACTCCAAAAGGTTAAGAAACAGTAAACATAAGAAAATACAGCAAATTATACATCGTACCATATATTTTCAAGGTTTATCTTTTCATGCAAAGAAGGAGTGCACAGCTTGTAGGAAGTGATTTCATTCAAATTCTCACGTGATAGTAATTTAGAAGTCCAGTGTTTTAACTCTCGTTAAAGCATGTAAGACATTTAATGAAATTTTTGCTACTGATTTTTTGACTGATTTTATCAATATGCAATGAAGGCTCTGATCAGTTTCAATGTAATAATAGTCATGTGCAAGTTAAAAGCATTAAAAATGTAGAAAGAGGCGAACGAATGTAGACGTCACTTCTTCTCCCTGATATTCATAAAATGCGTCCGGCGAATCATTACGGTCCTTGACAGACAGTCGGTAAGCCACAGAACCAGATATTTCTCAATCCTTCCCACAGTTGATCAAAATGCGAGCTGAGAACTGTGGTCAGTACACCACCTGTGAGGCGTGTATTGGGACTAATGCAAGGAATGATGGAGACCCATACTGTGGATGGTGCACT